CATCGCAACCACACGCCCCTAGATCGCGGAACCCCACTCCCAAATACCTCAGCCCGGCGATCAGCAGGACGCATGCGCTCTACAAACGTAGAAGGAGGTAGGGCTTAAGGAAGACGCACGGGGTTGGGCCTCCCAACCCTCTAGCCCCGCCTTCTTACCCTGCTTCCTCTCTGACTGGTTGCAAGACTGCGGAGGGTAATTTCCCATTGGCCACCAGCAAAATAGCTGGGCCGCAGCGCGCGGAGGCCACCATGGTGCGGTTTAAGCACAGGTAAGGGCCTCCTGCCTGCCCAACATCTGCTCCCCTACCGGGTCCCCCGCGTCCTTGGCCGCGCGCTCACTTTTCTGCTGCCCGCCGCAGGTACCTACTGTGCGAGGTGGTGTCTGATGACCCCCGTTGCCGCCTGAGTCTGGAGGACCGAGTGCTGGGCGGCCTCATACGGGACACGATCGCCCGCGTGCACGGGACTTTCGGCGCAGCCTCCTGCTCCATCGGCTTCGCGGGTACAAGAGTGCTGGGGAACTAGGCAAACGGCGGGATTGGGAGGGAACGGGGGCCGGAAGAGGGAGAAAGAAAGGGTACGGGAGACGGAGCTTCCAAACCCGATACACAGTCCTCACTGTACAGTATGTCCTCTTGAGGCCAATCGGAGTCTGAGCCCGAGTCTGCGTGAGTCCGAGGTTAGGCGGAGAGCTAAAAGCAGAAGGCAGTGGCACTTTGGGAAAGAATCGGCTTTATCAATTTCACGTGTGTATACTGGGGATTGTGATTGAGCAAGATAATGAATTAAATGGGGGAGGACGGGTATAGTTCCGAGTTAAGTTACTTGGTTACATTGACATCCCATGGGGGGGGGGGGGAATTGTCAAAATTACCTTTAAAAAAAAACCCTTAATACAGCAGATGAAATACAGAACCCACCATGGTATGTAAATGAGGGAGGGGATTCTTCTGACAAGGACGCTGTTTTAAGTGTTTTATTTTAACGATTATAAAGATATTTATTGGAGACAAATAGCGAGAGAGCGCAAGAGCTGGGAGGAGTGGGAGGAGCAGGCTCCATTCCAAGATCCTGGTATAAAGACCTGAGCTGAAGGCAGAGGCTTAACCTACTGTGCCACCCAAACTCCCCAGCCACGCTATTTAACATTTAAATTCATTGGGACGCCTGGGTGGCTCAGTTGGTTAAGCAGCTGCCTTCGGCTCAGGTCATGATCCCAGCGTCCTGGGATCAAGTCCCACATCCGGCTCCTTGCTCGTCAGGGAGCCTGCTTCTCCCTCTGCCTCTGCCTGCCATTCTGTCTGCCTGTGCTCGCTCGCTCTCCCGCTCTCTCTCTGACAAATAAATTAAAAAAAAAAAAATCTTTAACATTTAAATTCATTACCTGTTTTAACCTTTGCTTAAAATTGAATACCGGAGAATTCATGCACATAGGCCCAGTTCATTTACATCGGGTCATTCGCAACCTCTTCAAGACCTACAGAATCCAGTTGCAATAGGACCTGTTTTTCAGGGGGCACCTGGGTGGCTCAGTCACCTAAGCATCTGCCTTTGGCTCGCATCTTGATCCCACAGTCCTGGGATCAAGCCCCCATCAGGTTCCCTGCTCAAGGGGAACCTGCTTCTCCCCCTCCCTGCCATTCCCCCTGCTTGTGCTGTCAAACAAAATCTTAAAAAAACAAAAAACTTTTTTAGCCAAGATTTCCCCTGAGGAAGATGGATCTCTGCCAGTCCCAGCCCCACTTATCAGCTAATCAGTGAATTAGAAGAGCATTTAAAATTCCAAATTCATTCTGATTGGTGTGCAAAGCCCTGGTGTGGTTTATTCCTTTTTCATAAATAAATGTCTGTCCTAAGGGTTTTTTTCCTTCAGAAATTTGTTTTTACTCACTGATGCATCCCAAGTGCCACTGCCTGGCACATAGTAGAAGCTCAGTCTAAGATTTTTAAATGAATCCAGTTTCCCAAAATGTTTTTTTTTTCCCCTGCTGTAGTGCGATACCTCAATGCCTATACTGGAGTAGTGCTACTTCGATGCCGGAAGGAATTCTACCACCTCGTGTGCTCAGCTCTTCCTTTTGTCACATATTTGGAGAACAAAGGACACCGTTACCCGTGTTTCCTCAACACCTTACACGTGGGAGGTAGGGGTGCATGTGGTATGGCCGCTGATTTTCAATAGTAACAGGTCCAGGGTTCAGTCTTGACAGGCAGGTAGGTCTTCCTGCTCTCCTGCCAAGAATAGACGGCTTTCACCCAGCTCAGAAAGTCTTTGAGACAGACACCTTTCATGAGCTGTTGACCACAGAGTTCTTTCATGTGCCAGGTACAATTAGAACATGCCAGAAGTTCCTGATTCATTACAACAGGAGACAGCTGTTGATCTTATTGCAGAACTGCACCGACGAAGGTAAGCAACATTAGCCAGTGCCCACTGAGCAGTAACTAGCCTGGCTAAAAAGAGGGGACTCCCAAAGACCTCTTTCATCCCTGCTTTGCCTGCCTTTCCAGGAGAACGGCAAGCTATCCAGAAGTCTGTCGCCAGAAGCTGTTTACTAGAGGAGAGGTCAGATGAGGAGTTTTTGGAGAGTGGTGATGAGGAGGCTGCTGAAGCAATGGAGTGAACCTCTGCAGGCTACGCTGGGCCCGAGATTCAGGGCCCAGTTGTTGGAACAGGACATTCTGGGAGGCAGCAGCATCTGCTACAGTTTTGCCAAAGTGGATGACTGCTCACCAGAGGCCAAGGTATCAGCTCAAAGTAGAGGACTTGTTCACTTAAACTGAAGTCACCTTTACCTAGCGCTGCCAGGTTAAGTGGTCCTGCAGGTGGTGAACCCCCAGCAGTTACAGACTGTCTGTGTCTAATTGCCCGGCTGAGTAGGTTTAATAAATGTACTTGCCAGGGCACCTGGGTGGCTTAGTCGGTTAAGCATCCGACTCTTGGTTTTGGCTCAGGTCATGATCTCATGATTGTGGGACTGAGCCCCAAGTTGGGCTTTGTGCTCAGCATGGAGTCCTCTTCGGATTCTCTCTCTTCCTTCTCTCCCTCTCCCCATCTCCTGCTCTGTTTCAAATAAAAACTTAGAAAATAAATATACTCACTTCTATAGCAGCCATTTAGTATACTTAGGAAGTTCCATTTTGGGGGCACCTGGGTGGCTCAGTGGGTTAAAGCATCTGCGTTCGGCTTAGGTCATGATCCCAGGGTCCTGGGGTCAAGCCCCGTATCGGGTTCTCTGCTCAGCAGGGAGCCTGCTTCCTCCTCTCTGCCTGCCTCTCTGCCTACTTGTGATCTCTGTCAAATAAATAAATAAAATATTAAAAAAAAAAAAACTTCCACTTTGGCTGGGAGGTCTCCTTCCCTGGCTATCCCTGGCCTCAGTGGGAAGACTGGCTCCCTGTGATGCTACATGTATAGCCTCCCACTTGAGGTCTTGTGGATGAACCCTAAGCAGTCCAGGTTAAAGTATTATTAGTGAGACATGGCAACTAAACTGGCACAAATCTATAGCTGGTTTCCATACTGACCCATACTGGCCTTAAAAATAACAGATTCTTTACCAGTCCTTTATCAGGTAACAGGATAACAAACATGGTTCTTGCATTTTTCTTGCCGGAGGGGGTAGCGGGGAGGGGGGTGTGTGTGTGTGACAAAACCTGGCCTTGCCTGACATTACAAAGCCAAGCAGCAGCTGCCAGCTTCTAGTAGTTTCTGCAGTTCGCCCTTCCCTGTTGTCTCACCCCTGCCAGGCCACCTGAAACCGAGTAACACCTCCAAACTCACAGAAGTTGGGAGGTTTGGATCCACTACTTACCAATGACATTTCTAGGATCTGTTCTCTTGTATAATAAAACAGATGTTATTCAAAGTCCCTTACACATTTAACAGAAAGATCTGTAATGTTTGCCTCAACATGTCCCCTTCTCTTCAGGGCTGAAAACGCTCAGGCACCCAGGGCGGTTCTTGTCCCAGGATTTATGAACCTCTTTAAGAATGACAGGTAAAGCTAAGCCCAACTCAAGAACCCCTTAGTCCTGACACTAGGAAAGACCCTGCCCTGTGACACCAGAGTGCTCAAGCTCACTAGTAGCTGTTACTTTACCCTATTTAAGAAGTGTGTCTAGCTAACCTGTAATGAACTTTAAAAAACCAGAAAGCTCACATTGCTTGTGCAGGTGATTTATTGCAACTATTTGCCTTCACATTCTATTATACCTAGAGGTCACTTTATTAAGCAGCAAAATAATTCACATCACTCAAATTCCACTCAAACCAAGGCACAGACTGCTCTAGACAACAGAGAGGCAGGCAGTGGGCACCACCACTGCTTTCAAACCTGTTCAGCTCTGCCTCCAGCTGTGCCAGATTCCTCTGCTCCTATAACTCAGGCCACTGTCACTCAAAATAAGCTTCATCTAACAGTTGGCAGGTTCCAGGGCTGCTTTAGTGACAGTTACAGCTTTCCTTGCCAAATGAGCCACATACAAGTTGTAAAACCCTCTAGCACCTAGGTAAGCAGGCGCATCCTGGCCATTTCTCAGAAGAAAAACTGCAGTTCAAGCTGGGTGTCCTAAATCCATTTTATTCCCATCCTCTGCTTTTTTAACAAGAGGAAAACTAGACAGGAAAGGCTCTATTTTTAAAAGACATGCTGAGTGGTGTGTTGAAACCATGATGCCCTGACGTGTCAGCAGAGCAGTGGGGTGTGGGCTGCTCCAAGGGATGGTGAAGGGACTCAAACTTACTTGGGTTGAGAAAAACTAATTATACATAGGTCCAAAAGAATAACCCTGGTAACAAACTAAAAATCTTGGCAGGAAGAGATCTCTTGAGAGTGTCAATACTTTATTTTGGTGTAAAGATGGGAAGCTGGAAAATACACTGTATTTAAAATTTTCTTGGTTCCCCCTCACGCTGTGGAAACCCCCTCCCCCCAGAGCTAATCTGTTCAAACTCAAATACTTAAAAATTACAGCAGCAAAACAAAAGCACAGAAGAAAGAAAACCAGATGGAGAAGGTAACGAGCCAGTAGTGAGCCAGTAGTGTCACTTGGTGTGGACGACTGAGGTGCTGAACAGGAGCTTTTGTTTCTGTTTTTTTCTTTTCTTTCCTCCTTTGTCTTCTAAATGGAAACAAGAAAGAGCTTATTTAGCTTTGAACGTTATCCCCTTGCCCCCAGCCAGTTTTCACTCCTGAGAGTCCAGAGTGGCAGCTAAGGTTCTAAGGTGAGGACTGCCTGGACCCAGATACCAGTCCCTGCATGCTGCAGATACTTGTCAAGTCCCTTTACGTCCCTAGACCCATTTCTTCATCTGCTCTACCCATGATAGTTCTACCCATTTAATACAGTTGTCGGGAAAAATGAGCACAATGCTAAGCACAGAGAAGACACACCCTAAATGCTAATGTTCTTGTCTCACTGAATAGCCAGAGTGGTGTGGCCTTCAAGCCTGACTCCTCCAACTGTTAGCCACCCTCTACCAAACAGGATTCTAAAATCTCCTCTCCACTAGGTCTTAGAAGGGAAAAAATAAAGACCTTCTCAGAATTTCACATCCAGGCCTCAAGAATTAATGTGGGGTGGCAAAAAGGTCCTATCTGACATACCGAAGGGACTGTTAGCTGACACTAGCATGTGACCCTACAGGCTCAGAGGAAAGAGCCTAATTAGTGATGTCCACCACTAGATCCAGGTGGGAATGACAGCCCTGTACTGAGCACACACTTCTTTGCCTTTACCAGAGAGGGGATCTGAAGAAGCTGGTGTGTCCAGTTTCATGAAGGCTGCTTCAATAGCTTGGCTGAAGGAGTTTTGGAAACTGGGCACAGGAACACGGTCTGAGTTATCACTCTCCCCATCGCTGTCCACAGGAGCAGGAGGAACTAAGCTGTTTTCATCTATAAAATACCGTGTTAGAATTTTAGAGACGATTCTAGAGACTTTGACTTCCTGAAAGGGACCAAATTCCCCTCCACCAGAAGATCATTCTCACCTTTTTTGGGAGCAGTTTTGGGCCACACATCTGCTTTTGCCTTTCCAACCCTCAGCATCTGCCAAGAGAGAAAGAAGAGAGAAAAGAATTTAAGTAACCAGTCCAATTTCTCTTCCAGACTTGTGTCGACACTAACTAGCTATAAGGTCAAAGAACGATCACCTTTGGGAAAAAAGGATTTTCCAGGTACTTCTTTCCTCAATGCACTATTTTGGTCATGTTCTCTATATCCTGACCAGCAGAACTAGCAATGAAATTTCCAAGGTGGAAGACCAAAGCCTGTTTTATTCCTTAGAAAAAGGTTGAAGAATAGTGCATGACAGCACAAAAGGTTCTTACTCAGACTCTCAAGTTGACAATCCTGACTTTTGTGTGATTCTCTTGTTCTGTTAAGTTTTCCCGCTCTTCTTGAGACTCCTAAAAACATAAACCTCCTGGAATAAGCAGTGTGCGGTACCCTCCAATTTCAAAATGAACCACCTGGCTATCGAATTCCAGTTACTAAAGGCCAAGAAAACCAGTTTAATAAATTTAACTTTATCCTGCAACTGCCCCAACAGCCTTAATTACCCTTCAGTCTTTGCTTTTCCAATAGCTCCTTAATTATAAAATTTTAGATCCAGCCTCCATGTACAGTAAAATCAGAACAATTCCTCCTGCTCCTGAATGGGGAACTCTTTCATCTTGTCTGGCCAAGGCCAGTTTCTTATTTATCAAGGGCCAGTGTGAGTCCCATCTGCGACACATGCTATGCTCAAAGCAGGGGGAATTTGGGGTTTTTTTTTAAGCTTTTACTTATTTATTTGATAGAGGTCACAAGAGCTTAATGCGGGCCTCAATCCCAGGACCCTAAGATCATGACCTGAGCAGAAGGCAGAGGCTTAACCCGCTGAGCCACCCAGGCGCCCAAAGCAAGGGGAATTTTATTCCTGGAAAAATACCAGGAGACAAGCCCCACAAGATTCAAATAGGAATGTCTTGTCCTAAAGTATGTGTCCCAAAGTGCGGTACAGTATTATTCAAATGGAGTTGGGCTGGCAGAAGTTGATTTCACTGAATAACCTTTCTTTATCATGTACCACTTTGATGATCTTTTCTCTTGGTCCCTGGGAGTTTGGAGTCCAAATAGTAAGACATCTGAACCACCTTACTCTTAAAAGGTCATTAAAATACCTACCACCTATGTTTTATTCTTGCCACAAATGTTTAAATGTTTAACCTGAACCTACTTACGAAAAAAGAAACCAAAAAATCCAAACTCTAGGACTCTATATTCAACAGCTGGCCTGGATGCTTCACAAATATCCATGCCGTGGGAAGAAAACAAAACAAAAGAGAGAGGCTAGAGAAACTGTTACAGATCAAAGGACACTAAAGAGACTTGACAAATACATGCAATGAGCAATCTTTGGACGTGACTGAAAACAATACAGGACCCTTGAGACATACTCCATGAGATATTCAGTTAGCTGAATTTGATGTGGTCATGACAACTGTGCTTATACAGAAGAATGTCATTTGTGGGGCCACTTATATTTGGTGGTAAACTGTCATTCATGAGGTCTGTAACTGATTTTCAACATAGTAAAACAGTAAAAAGAGAAAGCAAACACAGCAAAATGCTAACTGGTGAACATAGATGAAAGGTAAAAGCGTTCGTTATGCTATTCCTTCAACACATTGAAGTTTGAAGTTGTTCACCATTTAATTCTGAAAAAAAGCAAAAGCAATAAAACCTAGTTAAAAACAACAACAACAACAACAACAAACTTAAATATCTGACATAACTCCTGGGAGCCACTTGCATAATTATCACTTCTGAAGCCTACCAGTGAATGTTCGGGATTGCTCTCAATTATTTCTTTCTCCTTGACTTCAGGACTCTCCTTACCAAAGTCCAATTCCTGCTTATTTCTCAACACGCACTGCCATTTGTTGTGAGAAACATCCATTATCACCTGCTCTAAAGAACTATTAAGCTAATGATTCCAAACTAGCCCCAAAAAAGTTAATACTAACTTCTAATGGGAGTGCTTGGCAAGCAGTCCATCCATCTTAACTTAGTTATCTCAATGCAGGAATGCTGAGTGTTGGTTTGTTGTTTTAAAGATTAAAAAAGTCATCTGACATCCTTTTGCCTCGTTGCATGTGAGAGAGCAAGCTGTGTCTGCTCAAACCCACACGGTCTGAGATCCGGAAGTAGGGCCTCAAGTATGTGCCACCAATGTTTCCATAAGTACGGGAAGGATACAGGCTTCAGTAAATTGGATTCAGTGAACTTTCTTGAATGGGTCCTCCAAGAGACCTATCTTAATGTTAACTCGTTGTACATAAAATAAAAATACTTCAATTACTGGGGGGAAAAAAAGATCTGACAACAAGGGTCACTAGCCTAGTGTTCCTCTAACCCACCTGCCTAAGAAAGCTGGTCTGGCTAGTTATAGGATAACCACAACCTCTCCCTTCCCAAAGTGAAGAGGAATGGTTTACTATATGTAATAGATACACACTACCTAAATCCAAGGTCCTAGAACTAGGGACCAGCTAAAATTGATTGATGTCTCCCCAGCCCCTACAACAGTGCTCATTACCCAAGTATCTAATGATTTGTTAAGTAACTGAAGCTCTGATTCTCCCTCAGCTACTCTTGGTCTCTTTCCTTGGTAAGTCTATACAGTAACATCTGAGACTAAATCCAACGGATTTCCTCTTAAAAAAGTTTTCCATGACTATTACCATCCGTGCAACATTAGCCTGTAAGTCTCCTCCTCCAATGGAAAGATTTCCAGAAAGAACAAGCAGCAGAGTTCATGTCAGATATCCTTGGGCTGTTTTACAATAGAAGCAAAAGATTTACCTGGGCAAAGGAAGGGAAGGGAGAGTCTTCTTCCAGACTCCCAACGCAGAATGAAGGACTGCCCTGACTGGCAGTAGGTGACAGAGGGGTCAGCAAAAAGTCTGAAAGGAAACCAGAGACCTGATTATGTAAGTTAAGCTCCAAAGAGCTAGTCTATTCTTAACAAGAGAGAAAAGATGAACCCTGAATCAGGTCTGGATAATTACCAGCCCCACCTCTAAAAGCGAACCTGATCCAATTACCACTCTGCCGTGTTCTTATAAAGTCAGGAACATGGCCCCACTATTCACACTAGTGGTCCAGGGAGAAAAAAGCTGAGTACTCACAGCAATACTAGAAAGCATGGCACAATCTGTTCCCACACTAAGAAAAACCCTTTCCAAAGCAGCTGACTCTCTAGGCCTAGGTACTGGGGACCGTTATGGACTAGTTTTATGTGAATGAAAAAGTTCCAAGGAAAAGATAAAATGTGATCAGGTCAGCCTTTATGGTCCAGCCAGAGGTCTCTGACCTGGGAATATTCAGTTAGAAGCCAAAATGCACATACATGAACAAAATCCAGTACGAAGATCCAAGCTTTTCCTTCATAAGCCCTAGATAATCGTCTTCTCCATCCTTATTGACCTAGAGGTGAGCAATTCCCACAGGTCTACCCACTGTCCTGATCACTGCAGGGAGGGAAGGGCCTAGTCACTCTCCAGGTAGCAGACCCTCCCCAGTCAGCCAGCGCTATTCAGTATGCTCAGTCCTCGCACCATCCAACTGCTCTTCCTCAGGACATTAAAGCCCGTTCCTCAGAAAGGCTAGTACGATGAAAACACATACACAAACACGGTTTTTGTATCACAGATAATGTGGTCGATGTTCTGCCATAGTGCTCTGTATAGCAGCTCTCTTCTTAAACTAAAGAGCATAATGGTCACAATGCAGGTTTCTGTCACATTCCTGTCACTAAGCCCCTGCCTTAGCCTCACGCTTCTAATCTGCAGAGTGACAGGCAAATGACCACAAGAGAATCACCAAGAGCTTTAAATACTCTGCTTTGGACATTTTATTAAAATGGCTGGCAAGAAATTTTAATTATCAAAAACTACCATCCAGGAGGACGATCAGAAAAGATAGCTCTTTGAAACAAAATTATGATTAACTCTTAAATGTTTAACTTGATAATACATTAATAAATTCTCTCTTTAAAAAAGTATTTTTAAAAGGCAAAAGCCTCTGAACAACCTCTAAATACTGACTTCACTCTCTAGAGTAAAACACCATTACCAGTTTGATTATGTAATCATCTCAGTATTTTTCTACACGTTCAGATAGATGAACCCATAACGAAATGCTGTTTTTATGTTCTTTTTTTTAAATCCACAAATGTGGGGTGCCTGGCTAGCTCAGTTGGAAGAGTATACAACTATATCTCAGGGTCATGAGTTCAAACCCCACATCCGGCAGGGAGCCTACTTAAAAAAATAAGTTAAAAAGAAAAAAGTAAAACCCACAAGTGGTATCATATTTCGTCTTATTTGACGATGTCCTTTCATCTTAAAGGTCCACACATTAGTTCATGAAGACAGCTACTCCCCTCTTCAATAGGTATAAAGTATTTCATAATATAAATGCTCTACAATTCAGCCATTACCTTAACATCAGATTTCAGAGGCTTCCCCTGCCCCCCCATTATAACCAGTGCTACAACAGAGACATGTACAAAGATGCTTAAGCATACAAGGGGATTTTATCACAGGTACAAACTAGAAATAAAACAGATGGGTCACAGGGAAGAATCTAAGTTTAACTGTCCCACCCTATGAACTATCTTGAGGTTCTGAGATTTTCAGAAGACAGCTGGGTACAAAGCAGTCAGTAGAGCAAACGCGAAAGGTGGATCAAATGGTAAAATCTGACATATCTCAGGAATATATTAACTACCCAAAGTAATGTTAGTCACCTGAAGATCCCACCATGCTGAGTAGTCAGAGTTGTACATTCAGATACCAGGTTTTGCTTTAAGGTCTGTGGCTGATGGCCAACTTCATTCTTTAAACCCCAACTCATTTACCTGCTTGGGAACCTGGACTTCTGCTAAGAGGAGAAAGGGAGAGGGCACCATGGCCCTCGGTGCTGGTGGGACCCAAAGCAGAATCGGAGGTGCAGGTATAGGAATTGAAGGCAGGAAACTGCTGTAGATTCTCTAGGGGAATGTGGACTTCTGGGTCTGCAAAGAAAAGAGAATGGTAGACCCATTTAGAATATTCCTCAAATCTTTTCCAACAGTTGAGGACAGTCGGTATGAATCCCCCAAGGGTCTTTAAAAAAAAAAGGGATGTAAACAGCTTTAAAACCCCAATTTTGGGACACCTAGGTGGTTCAGTGGCTTAACCATCTGACTCTTGATTTTAGCTCAGGTCTTAATCTCCTGGGTCCTGAGATCAAGACCCCCTGTGGGCTCTCCCCTCATAGGGGAGAGTCTGCTTGGGGATTCTCTCCCTCTGCCCTGCCCCCTCTATCTCCCCCTTTCTCTCCCCCGACCCCACTTTCCCGTGCATGTACTCCTCTCTCACTGAAATATGTAAATCTTTAAAAAAATTTTTTTTTAAATAAATAAATAAATAAAATCTTTGTTCTTACTATTCCTATCTGAAGCCAGGTGATAGACATACAGCTTAACCATATTACTCTATATACTTGTCTTTGAATATTTCCTTAATTTAAAAAAAAGCAAACCAGAAAAAGCTCATTCCTGAAACACCAGTTTTTCAAACATTTGGGAAATGTGCCAAACAGCTATATAAAACACTGGAACCCCAGTATTATCCTAGTTATTCAAGTTTAAGAAGTAAAAAAAGGAAAAGAAAATGGAAAAAAATTTTTAAGATTTTTCTTAATTTATTCATTTGAGACAGAGAGAACATGAGCAGGGGAGAGAGGCAGAGGGAGAGGGAGAAGCAGACTCCCCACCAAGCAGGGAGCCCGAAGTGGGACTCAATCCCAGGACCCCAAGATCATGAACTAAGCTGAAGGCAGACACTTAATTAACCGAGCCACCCAGGTGCCTCAAAGAAGTAAAATGTGTGTTTACCATACTGTATATAGTCAAAAACAGTGAAGTCCTTTCCCGAGCTGAGGACTCAGTTCTTTGCTTCCTGGAGGATAAGCAGGCCCTCATATCACACTACTCTCCTGGGTTCAATGAAGCTTATGTTGGAGCAGCAGATCAAAAGGCTCTGCACTTACTGGTATGAAAATCTAACCTCCTGCAAGTATTTCCTAGTTTGTCAAGGTTTCTACTCTGTCGGACCCCCTTGGGAGACATGCTAAGCTAGGTACAGATGTCCCTTTAATACAAAGGTGGGATTAACGTTCTATCTAGAATGCACAGGAGACAATTATCCACCAAATTCAGATTTCCAATTCTCTGCCCAGAACATATTTTTTCACCCACTATGCCAAGGATGAATTTAATCTCATCCCTTATTAAGAGCTATGAGCTTTGACTCGAATTAACCCACTTAATTCTCAAATAAGCCTATGAAGGAGGTACCCCCATGATTCACATTTAAGAGCTGAAAACATGTGGCAGGACTAAGATGTGAACCAAGCAGTCTAGGTCCTGGGCCCAAGCACTGAGTCTCTCTCCGATGATGCACAGCTGTACTAGTCAACGATGGGAGCTCCTGAACTTACACTTGCCCTGTTTCTTGTTCTCCTCCATCTCAATCCTTCGCTCCCGGCGGCGTTCCTCCCGAGCCTTCTTCTGGCGCTGACGCTTCCTCTTCTCAATGTCATCTGTAGGTTGGGCAGATGGTGAGGAGGTAGACCGAAGAAAACCTGGCCATTAACTCCTCCCAGGTGACTAGTAGCTAAGGCCACATAAGGAGAGAGCCAACTGGATGAACGGATGGAGTGTTTCTGGAGCTGTGGAGGCTCACGATGGAGCTCCTTAATTCCTCCCACCCCAGGTTTCCAGTCAGAAGAAGCCCTGAACTCCACTCTGAAGAGAAGCAGAGTGGGTGCATTCTTACCTGAAAATATCTCTAGGGTTTCCTTAGAGACCACAGGAGGCTGCAGAGCCAGTTCGCAGATACTGAACTCACAGGTGAGCGGCAGGTGAGAAAGGTATCTATGGCGCTGTCGAACATCCTACCAGGCAAAAGGGACCAAAACTCAACTGACAGCGAGCCAGACTCAGAGCAGAGGTTCCCACCCCAGACAGCCAACAGTACGCACACTCACACACAGCACTGGGGTTCAAAGATCAGTACTCAAGTTATCACCATTTGACAAAGCCAAACAGAAACGGTCAACATTCAGTAAGGTAGAATGGGCAACCAAAAGCAGTGTTTAGGTTTGTGCTGCAAATGAATAAACTGAGCCTGGTAATAAATAATCTAAAGCTGATCAGCTATTTCTGATTTTCTGGGGCCCACAACTAAGCAAGTGGGGGGGGGAGAGAACAAGGGGAGTTAAAGAGTATTGGATGGCAAAAAACCTAGAATCCATGGACAGAATTAATGGTAACTGGGAAGGCAAATAAAGCAGATTTCCCTACTAATAAAGCTTGGCCTGAAATAGTAAAAAAAAAAATGAAGGCCATCAATTTTTCTTTTCATTTTCTGCATGTTTATTTTTTTTTTTTTTTAAGATTTTTATTTACTTATTCTTTTAAAGTTTAAGGAAGTTTTCAAATTTAAGTAAGCTTCATGCTCAATGGGGGGCTTGAACTCATGACCCTAAGATTGAGAGTCACATTCTCTGCCAACTGAGTCAGCCAGGAGCCCCCTTTGACTTTCTTGATAATGTCTTTTTTTTTTTTTTAATATTTATTTATTTATTTATTTGACAGACAGAAATCACAAGTAGGCAGAGAGGCAGGCAGAGAGAGAGGAGGAAGCAGGCTCCCTGCTGAGCAGAGAGCCCAATACGGGGCTTGATCCCAGGACCCTGGAATCATGACCTGAGCTGAAGGCAGAGGCTTTAACCCACTGAGCCACCCAGGCACCCCCATTTTCTGCATGTTTGATGGAAAGTTTATGGTACTCAATGAGTCTCTTATTTTGAGGCTTGTAACAAATTTGTGATCAACACAGGGGTAACTCTCAAATGGTAAAAACACATATGTAAATTATCAGACAATAATTAACAGGTGTCTGCGGAGCCAAAAATGTGTTTCAAGGGGCACCTGGGTGGCTCAGGTCATGATCCCAGGGTCTGGGATTGAGCCCCACATTGGGCTCTCTGCTCGGCAGGGAGCCTGCTTCCCCCTCTCTCTCTCTGCCTGCCTCTCTGCCTACTTGTGATCTCTGTCAAATAAATAAAAATTTTTTAAAAATCTTAAAAAAGAAATGTGTTTCAAGCTTGTATAACCTAGTGTAGAGCTCCCAAGAACTTTTCGATTCCTTGGACATTTTTCCCAAGCCATAAGGAAAAAGATAAAAACAAAATCATCTTGAATGAAAGTGAGAGACATCTATATTCCCAAACCACAATAAATGAACCTGTTGAGCAGAGAGCAGTAGTGACTACCAGAAACCCAACATGGTAAGGGAGCACCGTATAATCTCTAAAAACTTTGCGGGGACAATCATCAGTGACAAAAACAGACTTACAAAAGCTATGATCCTTGAAGGATTGGATGCATGGGCTGGCTAGGCCCATGTCAAAGAGATCATTCTGAAGGCACCCCAGAACCGTAACCCTCGGGGCGGGTCGGACCTTACCTCGGACATGGAGTAGCCGGCAATCTCCACCACTACCGCTGAGATCTTCTCCGGGCTCTGCTCCAGGCTGCCGTACTCCCGCACAAGGCAGCGCACGTTCACAGGATGCAGGAACATGTACTGCCCGTCCTCCGCTGAAGACAAGAGGCTCTCTCACACAGCAATCTTGGTGGGTCCTCAAGAGAGGGCCCCCCACACAGCTAGGCCTGCCTCTCTCTCCCCAAAGCCAAAGGCACAACAGACCCAAGCACCCACAACTAGCAACAATACCTCCTTCTGCTAAGAGGACAGGTCACCTCGCTGAAACCTCTCCTTGGCAACCCAGCCCTCCTCTCAGGGACACTCACCTTGATAAAAGTAGTAACAAGGAGAGCTGCTCAGATGTGTAAACCCTGGCTTGGTGATGGGTTCCTGCTGGCTGGACTCAGTACAAATGGTCCCCTCTCCCAGACTGTCATCTGCTAACTCTGAGTCATCACAGGCCTCAGGCTCTGGTTCAGACACTGCTTCCTCTTCCTCCACCAGAGGGAGAGCAAGAGGATGAGGAGAGCCCAGAGAACAAACTTCGGTGGTCTCTTCATCAAAAGCAGACAGATACTCTAGCACACCCTGTTGGGACAAATTCTGTATCAAAAGAAAGTTTATGTGGCAAGGGAGGCACCGGAACCAAGTTCTCCGGATGTTTTCCTTAGCTGTCACTGACTTAACATCCCTGGGTAAAGAACTAATAAGCACACAGAAAATACTCACAGCCCCCCCTCTCCCCACAAAGTCCAGCACCTGCCACCTAAACAGCAACACTGAAGAATAGCAGCCATTTAGCCTCTAACAAGGACACACTAACCTTCCTGGGTTGAAAAACGGACTCCTTCGCCAAGGGAGCCATCAGCACCAGTTGTTCCAGAGCAGGCACAACACCAGGGACCTCCCTTCCGCCTTCGGTCAATCCTGACAGAGCTTCTTCCCGAGTCTAGACCGCCAGAGAGAAGACCAGAGAAAGCGAAGTTTCCAGAAACACTGAGTTTAGCAAGGGCTTAAAATGGACTCTCCCAAAAGGAGCGTAAGTTAAAAGGCAACAAGACCCAATGGGAATAGTGCTTCCATTGCTCCCATCCCCACTGTGGCTTTTTCTTCACACCATTCCTTTCATCTAGTCCTATATATTTTGATTATTTGGGCTATTTTCAATCTTGGTCTTAAAACGTTAATTGCTAGGGGTGCCTGGATTTCAAGTACTTAAAATCCTCATTCTTCAAAGGAAACAGGAAGCAAAAAGCACTTGGTACCCAAATGGGATGGTATTCTGCTTAGAATCTGTGGCAGTCACACTGACAACACTACACAAAAGCTTCCTGAACAAAAATCCAAGAGCACAGAACTAGTCTTCTTGTGTTTACACACTACACTTCGAAAGCCCCAGTGCAAGAGGCAGGGGTTTGGCCAACCCCCACCTAAACCTGGACAGCTCTACTTCTATATAGCTTTTCTTCTCCAAAATGCATTAGAACAAACACTCTGCATTATAGGGGGAAGAAAAAACAAATGAAATAGTACCCTGCTAAAGGACAACTCAGGAAAGAGGAATTCCAGCTTCACCTCTTTTTAGTTATATGTCCTCAAGTAAATTACCTTACTTAACCCATGACTCCATTTCCTCATCCATGAAAGGGGACAGTCGTATCTATCACACCAGGACACTTAAGTAAGATAAATATAAATACAGTACCATCGCATAGGGCCTGTCAGATGCCAATCACTCAATAAACAAGGGTTTTCATTGGTCTAATTAAGATCTATAATTCTCAAAATATGGTCTGAGGATAAACAAAATCAAAAATACCCTGGAACTCATGATAATGCAAATTATTAAGCCCACTTAGCCCAGAATTGACAGACTCCACCTCCCAGGGTGGAGCCCAACAACCAGGGATTCTGATGCCTATTAAAGGGTACAGAGCTTGGGAAATTCTGTATCTGGGGAATTCCTGTTGCTCCAAATCCTCAGCAGGTACTCCTAAGCCTTGCTACATAGGCCATACTACTTTCTGCAAAATGTCCCTCAAATAAAACATCTCTAAAAATAAATCCAAGTGTTTTTTTAGGGGAAAAAAAAAAAAAAAAAAGCCTACCTTGCTTAACTCAGAACGTAGTTAATCAAAGAGACTTCAGTGGCTCAATTAACTCCAAGATCATTTTAACTTCTTCCTTTCAGCTCCAGAAAGCACTTAACAAACCACTAGATACCGGGTACCTGGGCGGCTCAGTTGGTTAAGCAACTGCTTTCAGCTCAGGTCATGATCCTGGAATCCCAGGATGAGTCCCACATTGGGCTCCCTGCTCAGTGGGGAATCTGCTTCTCCCTCTAACCCTCACGCCTCTCATTCTCTCTCCCTAATAAATAAAATGTTTTTTAAAAAAGCTTAAAAAAACACACACACACACACAAAAAAACACTAGGTCAGCCCTTCCCTCCCATCACCAAATCCCAAAGCAAACTGTCTTTTTTAGCCTTTCCCTGTTCATTATCTTAAATGTGGGACTGAGGTAACTTATCCCCACCACCCTGTTTCCAGGGCATCAGCTTACCTTGAGCTCCTGGATAGCTGCCTCAATAAAGCAGGACTCGGGAGTGTGCTGCTCCTCTGCCAGCTGCTGCTCTAGAGCTACCTTCTCTTCCTGAACTACCCGGTGCAGCACCTGCTCCTTAGAGGCCAGCAGCAACTTGGAGTACTGGCTGTGCTGTTCATCTACAGGAAAACCAGCAAGATCACAAAAATGCAACACTCAAAGCTTTGCAATCGCCTGGCTACACAGCAACTTTTACATATACCTTTGTTGTAAAGATGGAAGTAATTTAGCATAATTTTCTAAAAACAATTTAATAATGACCTTAATACAAGGTTTCTAATTCTGACCCCATTTTTATAAGGAATCTAAGAAAAAAATGCAGTTAAAAAAAAATTTAGCCAAACAATATTCAATAATTACATCTATAATACCAAAAATACAACCAACCAGTATGTCCAATAATACAGAAATAATGACATGATGACATATTCACTGAAGGGAATTTTGCAGACATTAAAAATGGTTTTCTGGGAGCATCTGGCTGGCTCAATTGGGAGAGCACACAACTCTTAACATCCGTGCATTTGAGCCCCATGTTGGATATAGAGATTACTTAAAAATAAGCTTTAAAAAAAATTTTTTTTAATAAAAATGGTTTTCTGAGGACATTTACTAACATGTAGAAATACTACATTACATGAATAAAATGCAGACACCAAACTAGAAAACTTAATCCTAATCTTGCAGAAGTATACATGCACAGAAAAAAAATCTAGAATTTTGGGGTACTTCTGCATAAAAGGATCATGGAGGATTCATTTCCTTAACTTCCCTCTCCCATATTTTCTGTACTTTTCCAAAAGTTTAAGACAATATTATCTATTGAGAAACCCTTGAAATACCATTTTCCCACACTCCCATCCTAGTACCCACCCAGAGATAACCATTTACAAATTTCAATATGTAGTCATCAAATCTTTTTCTATACATTTATACCCATGTTCATTTTTTTTTTTAAGATTTTATTTATTTATTTGACAGACAGATCACAGGTAGGCAGAGAGAGAGGGGGAAGCAGGCTCCCTGCCAAGCAGAGAGCCCAATGGGGGACTCGATCCCAGGACCCTGGGATCATGACCTGAGCCGAAGGCAGAGGCTTTAACCCACTGAGCCACCCAAGCGCCCCCACAGAGACCTAATTTTTACCTTCTGTATTGTGTTCCACAGAATAATACACTCCACTTTGAGTAAATTCCTTATGGAACATTTAGCTTATTGTCAACTTATATTACATTGTAACAAAAAATCCTTATACATGCTCCTTGGTGCGAATAATTTCCTTATGATATTTAAGTATAAATGCTGGATCAAAGGTTTTGGGTTTTCTGGGTTTAAGTAATCTCTATACCCCATGTGGGGTTCATCACAATTGTAGCCACGTTCCTCCAGCTGAGCCAGCCAAGTGCCCCTGTGCACTTTAAATACTTTAAATACTATCAAACTTCTCCCATCAAAAATCCACCAAGAACTCATTTTCCTCCCCCCCCACGAAACCTGGTGTTCCCAATGTTTTTTTCTCTTTTTCCTGTGTGTCAATCTGATAGCCATTTTGATTTACGTAACTCTTAGCAAAATTAAATCTCTTAGAATTCTTGGGAAGGATTCCAATATGCCTTTCTGGAAAATGCTTTGCACATGCTTAGCCCAGCTTGTTAATCTAATTCATAGAATACTTGCTCTCCCCCGCTGAAATAAAATCTTTAAACTAATTAGTTAATTAATTTAAAAATGTGTAAATCTTCCCTTAGTTTATCATCAGTTGACTTTAAGGAATCTTGTCAGATTTCATTCTTATAAAATCACATTTATTTAGCTTTTCTTTTATAACATCTATACGGTTTTATCCTGGTTCAAAAATCCATCCCTACCTGAGGATTTATAAAGATACTGTCCCATATTTTTTCTTAAAAATTTTAGATTTTTAAAAATTCAATTACTTAATCCATGAGGAGTTGATTTTTATGAATGGTATGAGACAGGGATCTAATTTTTTTTTTCCACGAGAGTCAACTGTTTCAATACTATTTATTGAGAAATATCTTTTGCCCAGAAACTGAAATGCCACTTTAATCAATACTCATTTCTGCATGGAATACAGGACATAAAACCCTGTGCACATTCCCCACTCTGAGTACTTCTCACATTCTATTCTAATTGCTTGGCCACCGTATGTCTCTTCTACTAGACTACTGAGTTCCTGAACAACAGGTGCGCAGACTGCTGACTGTGGAATCCTCAAGACCAGCCACTATTTCAACAAAATGAAAAACTGAGGGCCTTTGGCTGGCTCAGTCAGTTAAGCAGCTGCCTTCAGATCAGGTCATGATCCTGGAGTCCCAGGACTGAGCCCTGCATTGGGCTCTCTGCTCAGTGGACAGCCTGCTTCTCCTCATACTCTCTCCTGCTCTCTCAAATAAATGAACAAATCTTAAAAAAAATTAAAATATATAACTGAGCCATACTTGAAACCATACTTGAAACTTGCAGAGAGTTAAGCCACTCTGCAAATTCACCTCTAACCTACCAGAATCCTAAAACTGATGTGGAAATGCTAGAAATGGCCTGCTCAAAGGCTCAATTTCTAATAGCAAGATATACTCACAATAGCCTTGAAGGATGTACCCCAAATTATTTGCCCCCTAAATTAACAGAACTCACCTCCTAGATGAATAGGATGGTCTACATTCATCCATTTGGATTTGGGCAAAGCCAACAACACCCCTTTCTCCCTCTTCATCAGCTGCATTGTAATGGTATCACCAACAACATACTGCCGTGACTCTGTGGCAACAACACTGTAACATGGACATTTAGATGGAAAAGAGCAAGGAGTCAGCAGATGGGGGATCTAATCTATTAAACGTCTCCATCTCACCTCTTGAGATCCTTCTTATGCACAGAACTGTAACAGATGGGACATTTACTCCAGGTCTTCTCACTCAGGGAAAGGTAGTGCAGAATGCATGCCCAGCAGAAGATGTGTCCACAACGGGTTATCTTGGCTGCAGTAGGTGGATATAGGCATATTGGGCAAGATGGCACTTCATGGCTACAAATACGCTGAAACAAAATAACGCCACAAGTTACACTGCTTTCAAACTGACATGGGGCTGTCAAAGTTAAAATCTTTCTCTCCGGGGCGCCTGGGTGGCTCAGTGGTTTAAGCCACTGCCTCCGGCTCAGGTCATGATCTCAGGGTCCTGGGATCAAGCCCCGCATCGGGCTCTCTGCTCAGTGGGGAGCCTGCTTCCCCCTCTCTCTCTGTCTGCCTCTCTGCCTACTTGTGATCTGTCAGATAAATAAAATCTTTTTCTAAAAATGCACATACATGTATATGAATATAAATATAAACATAAATATAAATAAAGTAGGTATATAATAACACTTTATATCATTAAGGAACCCACAATAATGGTTTAATATAATAACAAGGGGCACCTGGGTGGTTCAGTCAGTTACACATCCCATTTTTTTTTTTTTTTTTTAAAGACTGTATTTATTTATTTGGAAGAGAGAATGAGAAAGAGAAAGCACATGGCAGGGGAGGGTCAGAGGCAAGAGCAGACTCCCCACTTAGCAGGCAGCCTGATTCAGGACTCGATCCCAGGACTCCAGGATCACGACCCAACCCAAAGCAGTCACTTAACCAACTGAGCCACCCCATAAGCACCCCACTCTTGATTTCAACTCAGGTTATGATTTCAGTACTCTGGGATCAAGTCCTATATCAGACTCCCCACTCAGCATTGAGTCTGCTTGTCTCCTTCTCCCTAACCGCTCCCTGCCATGTGCACATATGTGTGCATGCTTTCTCTCAGTAAGTAAATCTTTTTTTTTGTTTGTTTGTTTTTTAAAGATTTTATTTATTTGCCAGAGACATAGAGAGAGAGTACACACAACCAGGCAGAGAGGCAGGCAGAGGCAGCGAGAGAAGCAGGCTCCCTGCCGAGCAAGGAGCCCTATGCGGGACTCAATCCCAGAACCTTGGGATCATGACCTGAGCCGAAGGCAGCGGCTTAACCAACTGAGCCACCCAGGCGTCCCTAAGATTTATTTATTTATTTATTTATTTGACAGAGATCTCAAGTAGGTGGAGAGGCAGGCAGAGAGACAGAGAGAGGAAGAAGCAGGCTCACCACTGAGCAGAGAACCCGATGCGGGACTCGATCCCAGAATCCTGGGGCTATGACCTGAGCCGAAGGCAGAGGCTTTAACCCACTGAGCCACCCAGGCGCCCCAGTAAGTAAATCTTAAAAAAAAATATGTATGTGTACACACACACACACACACACACACACACACACACACACATAAGTACACAAGTATTTTAGGAGTTCCACAAAGGGAAAAAGTGACAGAAATCAATATATGATCCCACTTTCTTTAAAAGGTTTACTTATTTATTAGAAAGAGAGAACACAAGCAGGGGGTAGTGGGAGAGGCAGGCTCCCCACTGAGCAGGAAGCCCGATGTCAAACTCAATCCCAGGATGCTGGGATCGTGACCTGAGCCAAAGGCAAACACTTAACTGAGCCACCCAGGCACCCCTATGATCCCATTTATAAAAAAAAGATATATACACATACACAAAGTCATACAAAAGATCAAGAAGTAAGGTACCAGTAATTTTCCAACAGAGAAGTCAATGAGATTTTCACTTTATATGCCTCTCTTTTTTTTTTAACCAATGAATATAAAACTTAGGCTTCATAGGACTCATCATTTTTTTTTTTTTTTCATTTATTTGACAGAAAGAGATAGGGAGAGAGGGAACACTAGCAGGAGGAGCTAGAGAGGGAGAAGCAGGCTCCCCGCCAACCGGCTCGATCCCAGAACCCCAGGATCATGACCCGAGCCAAAAGCAGACGCCCAATGACTGAGCCACCCAGGCGCCCCTGGACTCAGCATTTTCTGATGATTTTATGAATTTTCATACTTAATGGGAAGCCAGGCTTTGAGGCCTTTAGTTTTTTGGTTTTTCTTTTTTTTTAAAGATTTTATTTATTTACTTGACAGACAGAGATCACAAGTATGCAGAGAGGCAGGCAGAGAGAAAGGAAGGGAAGCAGGCTCCCAGCTGAGGAGAGAGCCCGAAGCGGGGCTCGATCCCAGAACCCTGGGATCATGACCTAAGCCAAAGGCAGAGGCTTTAACCCACTGAGCCACACAGGCACCCCGAGGCCTTTAGTTTTGAAAAGTATTATATATCTCTATAAGCCAAGAGCAAGAGAATACCCAAAGCCCCCAACTTCAACAGAAAACAAAATGTAGCAGTGGCTTAGACAGCAGTGCAGCTAGTGGCTCATTCACCTGCCACAAGACTGAGGCCTAACAGATTACTACAAATGGCTACCAATGAAGCCATATCCATGAGCCCATTCTAGGTCAGGAGGGTGACCAGAGTTCTTCATCTATTTCCCTAGTTACTTCTTCCCAGGAGAGGTTGTAGATAGCACTGCTTTTATACACCTTTTAGATGAGAGTCCTCCAATTTCCCAATCCTGCAGGCCAGCCAATAGGAGTGCACAAAACGAACTCCAGGAGAAACCAGCACTGATATCTGGGGAATGTCTACAGTGCGGCCATGCAGAAAAACGTATCAACAGTGAAACCAGCCAACAGCTGCTGTGTCACCACGGTCCATTTCTTTAGTTCTCTCCCCCGCTTAGATGAGCTACTCACCACTTGTTCCACAAAGTCCCAGTTGACTAAGGTATCAGGATCAGCAAAATGAACTGTGTAGTCTTGGTCTTCAGATACTACAAATTGGCAGCTGGAAATAGGGAAAAAGACAAGGAAAAGGCAGACTGTCAGAATCCACTGACATGCCATCACCAAAAAGTCATTTACTTCCTTCACTTAGTAATCAAATACAGGCCATTAGCAGCCATGGTTTGTGAAGCACAGAACTAGGAGTTCAGCCTCAGTTTTTAGCCCTGGCTCTGGAGGGAATCCAGAGCTTGGCAAGTAGGGAGTCTAAATCCATGAACTCTGTTTCTTCTGCTCCCAAGCCCAGCCAAGCTGCTGTAGGCCTCCCTTGGGCTAAAATTAACCCAGACTATGGCTCCATCAATCAGCAGGAAGCCAGATTTCCTTCCGCCCTGTGAGAAACCCCAGCACACAGCTAATCTTCAAGGCAGGAGAAAGCCTATTCTCACTCAATCATTTGATTACCAATTTATATAAAGTACTAACCAGTTACTTGAGTCTAGATCCAAGGTCAAATCTTACATTATAACTAATGACACACAAAAGGAAACAAAAGGCAATCAGTATTTGAGCAAATATATGCCAAACACTCCAACCCTGTCATTCACTTTCCTCCTTTATAGGAGGAAGCGGAGTCTCAAAGTGGATAAACAAATTACCTAATTACCAAAATAAAATTTTGTACAAATTACCAAAATAAGATTTTGTACAAATTACCAAAATAAGATTTAAATCTGGGTCCAATTCAAAAGAAAACTTTTACTACATCATGACACTAAAGCATTATTTAATTTTAGCATTTATTAATATATTTAAGTAATATATTCTTTTAAGCACCAATAACATCCGCTTGAAAAGTTGTTTTTCAACGCTTGCCACCCCCCTCAAAACGAGAGAGAGAGAGAGAGAGAGAGGAGAAAAAGAACCAAATCAAATCCTTTTCTACCTCTCTCCCACAGCAATTTAAAAGAAGCTTCTGCTGGGGCACCTGGGCAGCTCAATCAGTTGAGCGTCTGCCTTTGGCTCAGGTCATGATCCCAGGGTTCTGGGATGGAGCCCTGTGTCAGACTCCCTGCTCAGAGGGGAGGTCTGCTTCTCCCTCTGCCCCTCACCCTGCTCGTGCTCTCTCTCTCTCTCTCTCAAATAAATAAATAAATTTTTACATGAAATAATATAAAAGAAGCTGCTTCTAAAGAAATAAAATAAAAGCTGCTTCTCAGCTCCAGCAACTGCCCAGAGGCTCAACTGCACTTTCCTCCTAAGAGTTGACATACTCACTTGGCCTGTAAAAAGAGTTCCTTGTTAAAAGGCTTATGCCCCCACTTGTTCCTTTTTCCCCAGCTGCCATGTCCACCGCCTTCAAAGTGACCCGCCTGGCCACGAGGTTCAAAAGTGAAATTCAACAAGTGGTTCAAATTGATCTTCTTCGGACCAGAGAACTGGGCAGGGCTAAACTCTGCCCTTTGAGCCTCTGCTACCTAGAACAAGAATGAATCAAGCATTTCAGATTATTACTGACTTATAGCAGAAACCAGCACAATCCCTCCTTCTACATGGCTTAAAATGCTTACTAAATGAAACACAGGCTTAAAGTGAACAATCTTCCTAGGAGAAGGTAATACAAAAAGTCCACCAAAACGTGGGTGGGAATGAAGAAGGGGACCAGAGCCTTGAACATACAATTACTTCAATTGCTCAGCCTGCCCTGTGAAAAGGCAATTAACCATTAAGTGACAAAACCCAACAGAACTCCTAGCTCTCTTGAAGCACAAAGATTTATTTACTGGATTAATCTTTTGACAGTCCCATAGAACTCCTACACTTCACTCTTACTAGCTACCTGTTCTTTGGTTTGTTTCTGGCAAAAGCGAGTCTGTGGAACTATACTCTGGAGGCGGCTCGCAGGCAGGTGCTAACTGCCATGGGCTTCAGGATCCTGCCAGAGACCTCCTGTCTAAGACACACACTGCTATTCGTTGTTAATTAAAACTGACGGAATTAGAACATGTAGGCAGACTACCTCTGTGTCCAGAAATAAACCCAATCGACAGATTCAGAAGCAGTTTAGAAAGTGGCAAGAAATCACATGGGAGAAATACCACTGCACACAAAGATGGAAGAAATCATGTTGGGCTTTTTCAGTTTGTTTTTGTTTTTGTTTTTTAAGATTTTCTTTATTGGGCACCTGGGTGGCTCAGTCGGTTAAGTGGATGCCTTCGGCTCAGGTCATGATCCCAGGGTTCTGGGATTGAGTCCCATATCAGGCTCCCCGCTCAGCAAAGAGCCTGCTTCTCCCTCTCCCTCTGCCTGCCGCTCTACCTACTTGTGCTCTCTCTCTCTCTCTCTCAAATAAATAAATAAAATCTTTTTTTTTTTAAAGAAGATAAATTAAAAAAAGATAAATAATTTTTTTTAAAAAGGTTTCATTTATTTTTTTAACAGAGAGCAAGTGAGAATAGCAGGGGAAGCAGTAGGCAAAGGGAGAGGGAGACACAGGGTCCCCACTGAGCAAGGAGCCTGATGTGGGGCTCAATCCCAGGACCCTGGAATCATGACCTGAGCTCAAAAAGACGCTTAGCCAACTGAGCCATCCAGGTGCCCCTTTTTTTGGCTCTCTTAACATTCCCAAATTGAAATGGAAGATACCTGTTTTAAGTCAGCTAGTGCATTCCTTTCTTTCTTCTCTTTTTTTTTTTAAGATTTTACTTATTTATTTGACAGAGAGAGACACAGCGAGAGAGGGAACAGCAGGCTTCCCACCGAGCAGGGAGCCCGATGTGGAGCTCGATCCCAGGACCCTTGGGATCACGACCTGAGCCAAAGGCAGACACTTGACGACAGAGCCACCCCGATGCCCCAGCTAGTCCATTTCCTAATCCCAGTATCTCATCTGATGTTAAAAACACTTTGCCACGTCAGTCATATTAGCATATAGTCACTTTAAACGGCTATATACCACTACATCATATAGGTATACTATAATGCCCCACGTAGGACACACTGTTTATAGCTTCTCCTCTGTAACAAAATAATGTTATGATAAACCTATTTTTTGATAGATCTTTGTGCACAAATATTTGGCCACGTACAATTATTTCTTCTGAATGTATAGTAGGAATTACTAGGTCAAAGGAAAAGCAAATTTAAGGCATTTGTTACTTAGTCAAATTTAGAGATTAGTAAACAGCACCGACACGTCATGAAGAATACAGGCGTGCCCAGGTGGCTCAGTCAGTTAAGCATCCAACTCCTGATTTTGGCTCAGGTTATGATCTCAGGGCTGTGAGATGGAGCCCCACTCAGGCTCCACATTCGGCACAGAGTCTGCTTGAGACTCACTCTCCCTCTCCTCCTCCCCCTGCTCATGCTCACTCTCTAAATAAATAAAATCATAAAAAAAGAAAATCTAAAGAGTACAGAAAGGGATATGGTGAAAAATACCTTACATTGCAGAAGCAACCAATATGGCCTCAGATATCCAATGCATATAAACCATAGTACAGGACCTTTATAATTAAGTGGCAAACCATAAACAATTTCCTTTCATCTCAACAAAAGATCCTGGGAGACAACACCTCCCACTGTTTATGTAACTCACCACAGGAAGCTCAGGACTTCCAGTCATCTGTTGTCTCTCAACCCCTGGATGCTCATTTCCATGTGCCTCTTCTATTCCCTGATCAGTCTTCTACCCCCAATGCCCCAACCCTACATAAGAGCTTGTGCTCACTCAGGAAAATCCTCCGCACCTTCAACCTTCTATCATCACCTTGTTATCCTAGTTGGCCCAATGCCATCCTCTCCAATACTGCCCATCACAATTCCTGATAAATTATTCTTCCAGGGGCGCCTGGGTGGCTCAGTGGGTCCTAATTCCAGGGTCCTGGGATCGAGCCCGCATCGGGCTCTCTACTCAGCGGGGAGCCTGCTTCCCTTCCTCTCTCTCTGCCTGCCTCTCTGCCTACTTGTGATCTCTGTCAGATAAATAAATAAAATCTTTAAAAAAAAAAAAATTATCCTTCCAAAACACTGACTTCTCAGTTCCTTGACCCTCACCTCCTCCAATTAGCTTGCCCTCCACTCTACCTCAGGCACCCAGTTCCCAAGGACATACCATCTAGATCCGTGCCATCCTATACAGCAACCACTACTAGCCAGTGCCACACATGAAATACCATTTTAACTATACTGGATAAAAACATAAAAATTAATTTTACCATTTCTTTACTTTTTTAATGTGGCAACTAGAAAAGTTTCAATTATACAACTGGCCTGCATTTCTACTGGACAGCACTGCTCTACATCTAGACCATTAAGGATAACAATCACATCTCTTCCAACATCCAAGCAGCAACTCCCTCCTTTCCTAGCTAGTTCCCTTCATGCCTGAATCCACAATTCTTCAGCCCCACTGGGATCTCCAAAACAGTGATCCGACCCACCCCTACAATTTTGTTTCCTTACTTGGAGTAGATCCTATGGTCCATTTACCCCTTCTCTTTGTCATCTGTACTCACCTGGCAAAACCCCGATTAATCCAACTCTGCCTATGTATTTCCATACCAGCACCAGAGAGTTATACACAAGAACACAACCACACCACAGCAACCAGTCTCACTGAAGTAGGCCCTTAGGCTGCCTGGCAATATTACCACAACCAAATGACAATTCTGTACCCACTTAATTCCCCAGTCACCCAGACAATTCCATTGCTCAAGGCTTCCAAGGCTCCTCTCTCAGCTCATCTTCCATATTTCACCAAGACAATAAGAACAATCAAAAAAGAATTCCTACATCCTCCTACCAGGTACTCTGTCCTCCTCCTGTGTACTGAGGATGAACAGGCAAAACTCCTATCTAAGCCACTTGTACACAAGATCCCAACTCCTCAAGGACTCAAGGACACTGTTATAGCAATTCTCCCCCTTTTCTCTGCATCATGTTCCCCCCTCACAGGACAATCCTATTACCAGAGATATGATATAATTTCTCTAACTTTAAAACCTCTGGACTTCACACTCCCTCAAGCTACTGCCTTACCTCTCTGCTCCCCTTTAGAGCAAAGCCACCAGAAAGTACTGTCTAAACTTGCTATTCCTTCCTCCCTGTCTTTCATTTTCTCTAAATCTATGCCAATCAGGTTTTTATCCTTGCCACTCCACCAAAGCAGCTCAAGGCCAACAACCTACCTTCCTATTATCAAATCTACTAGTCAACCAACTTACCTTCCTATTTATGAAATCTACTGGTCCACTTTCAGTTCTCATTTTCTGCCTATCCGCACAGGGCAAAACTAACTACTTTCTCCAAATGGCTTTCAGTTCCCTTCCTCCCTTTTTGCTGATCCCTCATGATCCTGACTCAAGCCTCAGTCCTTAAATCTCTTCCCTTTCTGCAGCAACTCACTCCTTAATGATCTCACTTAGTTCCACAGCTGCAAACACCAAATGCACACAGACACCTAGCTCTAGCCTGGGTCTCTTCCTTCAAGTCCAGATCCCATTAACTGCCTATCTCTACTTAGAAATCCAGTAAACTGGGGCGCCTGCGTGGCTCAGTGGGTTAAGCCTCTGCCTTCAGTTCAGGTCATGATCTCTGGGTCCTGGGGTTGAGCCCTGCATCCGGCTTTCTGCTCAGCAGGGAGCCTGCTTCCCCCCCACCCCTGCCTGCCTCTCTGCCTACTTGTGATCACTGTCAAATAAATAAATAAAATCTTAAAAAAAAAAAGAAAAAAGAAATCCAGTAAACCTCTTCACATAAATGTATGTCCAAAACGAAGTTCTTTATGTCAACTCCCCTTCCCACCCCACCACCCCCAAACCCTGTACTTCTCTGGAAATCTTCCACATTTCAGCATATGGTATTTGAATTGAACTCCTGCCAAAAACATTCATTTTTTACTCTGCTCAGACCCCATATCTAACATATTAAAAAAGTCATGTTGGCTCTACCTTCAAACATTAGCCCAAAGGACACACCTCTCACCAACTGTCGCTGTTTCAAAGTTTCCATCACTCTCACCAGAAACATCTTAACAGCCTCCTAACTAACCTCCTTGGTTCCACACTCCCCTTTAAAATTCCAAGTCAGATTACAGCACTTCTCTTCATAAACCCCTGATGGCTTCCCATCTCTCCGAACAAAAGGCAAAGTCCTGCAAGGCCCCACATGATCTGACCTCTCCTTCCCATTCTTTAGCTTCATTCCCTACCCCTCCTCCTCCCAGGGAAGCCTACTTGTTTTACCTCAAACAAGCCAAAAACATTACCACCTCTGATCCCTTACTGCTTGTGCACTTATTCCTTCTGGCTAAGACACTCTTCCTCAAAACTGTATGGTGTGCTCCCATGATCATTCAGGACTCTACTCAAACTTCACCTCCTCGAGAGCAGCTTTCCTTAGGCACCTTCTAAAACCATACCCGTGGGGAGCCTGGGTGGCTCAGTTAGTTAACCATGTGCCTTCAGCTCAGGTCATGATCCCGAGGTCCTGAGATGGAGCCCCACATCAGGCTCCCTGCTCAGCGGGGGAAAGTCTGCCTCTGCCTCTCCCAGCCCCACACACACTCATGCATGCTCTCTCAAATAAGTAAAATCTTTTTTTTTTTTTTTTTTAAGATTTTATTTATTTGACAGAGAGAGACACAGCGAGAAAGGGAACAGAAGCTGGGGGAGAAGGAGAGAGAGAAGCAGGCTCCCTGTTGAGCAGGGAGCCCAATGTGGGGCTCAATCCCAAGACTCCGGTATCTTAACTTGAGCCAAAGGCAGATGCCCAACAACTGAGCCACCTAGGCGCCCTCAAATAAGTAAACTCTTTAAAAAAAATAAAAAATAAAACTGTATTCTTCGTTATTCTCTATCCTAACTCTCTCAGTCTACTTTTTGTCAATTCGGTAAGCACTTACCTTCAGATTTATTATACAGATGACCCTTCAACAATGCAGGCATTAGAAGCACCTACTGCCTGCATAATCAAAAGCCCATGTATGACTGTTGACTCCCCCAAAAACTTAACTGCTAATAACCTACTGTTAACTGGAAGCCTTACCAATAACAAACACTCAACGCATGTTTTATATATCATAGGTATTATACATTGTATTTTTAAAATAAAGCTAGAGAAAAGGAAATGTCATTAAGAAAATTAAAACAAGGGGCGCCTGGGTGGCTCAGTGGGTTAAACCCTCTGCCTTCAGCTCAGGTCATGGGATTGAGCCCCGCATCAGGCTCTCTGCTTGGCAGGAAGCCTGCTTCCCCCCGCCCCACCAAGCTCTCTGCCTACTTGTGATCTCTGTCAAATAAGTAAAATCTTTAAAAAAGAAAGAAAGAAAATCAGAACAAAGACACCTGGGTGGCTCAGTCAGTTAAGCGTCCAACTCTTGATTTCAGCTCAGCTCATGATCTCAGGGTTATAGGATCAAGCCCCACATCAGGCTCCATGCTCAGCGTGGAGTCTGCATGAGATTCTCTCTCCCTCTGCCCCTCTCCCTACTCACACACTCTCTCAATAAATAAAATCTTAAAAAAGGAGAGAAAATCAAAACACATTTACAGTACTGTATTATATTCATTTAAAAAAAAATCCACATAAGTGGAACCATGCAGTCCAAACCTGTGTTTTTCAAGGTTCAAGTGTATAATCATTTATTATCTCCCTGAACTAGAATATAAGTTCCTGAGGGACAATATTCCACTCAGTATTGTATTCCAAACTGAATAGTATCTGATACACACCAGAAGAGAACTAAATTCTTTTTTTTTTTTTTTTTTTTAAAGATTTTATTTATTTATTTGACAGACAGAGATCACAAGTAGGCAGAGAAGCAGGCAGAGAGAGAGGAGGAAGCAGGCTTCCCGCTGAGCAGAGAGCCCGATGCGGGGCTCAATCCCGGGACTCCGGGATCATGACCTGAGCCGAAAGCAGAGGCTTTAACCCACTGAGCCACCCAGGCGCCCCGAGAACTAAATTCTTGGTGAATGAATGAATTCTTCTATAAATACATTAAATGTGTCTTATTCTATAATGGTTACATAATAGGGAACATTCAAACAAGAAGACAATTTAACCAGTCCCTTGCTAATTAAGGTTGTTTCCTAGATTTTCTAACAACCAACAATGCTACAATTAACTACCTCGTAAGGAAGTCTTTATGGACTTACAAAAGGATACCTAAGAAACTCCTAAAATCAGAGTACCTGGGACTAAGGATATAGCATTGTGCATTCTGCTAGATACTACAGGGCAAATGTCATTAATGAACTGAAGTCACTTTATTACCTAAATATTTAAGAGGTGCCTCTAATTCAGGAGTAAGACAGAAGGACTATACAAAATAAGGTACCCCAAATTTGCTGTGATTTCTCACAATCCAGGATAATGATGTCTTCCTCCACCAAGGAAATTTCCATAACTTTCAAGGGAAAAAAAGAGGCAAAGTTCCAAACCTAGTTAATCCTCAACTATTCAAGACTGCTTTGGTTATTTACTTTTTCATGTCTCTCTCCTCACCAACTACTGATAAACCTGGGGGAGGGGGGCGGAATCAGAGCTCATGCTTCTTATTTTAGAAAGACCATTCTTAAATTCCATACCTCATCTCGTCTTCCACCATTAAAAGAAGAGCTAAAGACTTTGCTGCTGCCGCCGCCCCTCTGTGGAGGCATCTTGTTAAAAGTTTTGCTTTTCTGTGAATTGGAGCGACGGGATTGGTTGCTAAAATTTTCATTTTTGGGATAGGAAGGTTCACGTTTGCGATTAAAACGCTTGGATCCACTTGAGTTCTTTCCATCTGAAAGCAAGAAATGCAAAGAATTAGTTAAGAAATGATACACAGGGCTCCTGGAGGATCAGTTGGAAGAGCATGTGATGCTTTATCTTGGGGTTGTAGGTTCAAGCATCCTCATCAGGTAGACACTACCTAAAAAAAATCTTTTAAAAATAAACTAACAGGGATACCTGGCTGGCTCAGTCAGAAGAGCCTGGGACTCTTGATCTCAGGGTTTTAGGAAAATAAAATCTTCAAAAATAAAAATAAAGGTAAACAGACCCTTCCACAACCTCTAATAAGAAATCTCGGTTTGGGCCAGAGCTTTGGGCAAGACAACTCACAGTAAGGTGGTTTTTACTTTGGCTCTTTATTTTTGTTACAGATTGTATTTACTTATTTATTTGAGAGAATGATCAAGTGAGAGAGAGAGAGAAAACACGTGAGGAAGCATGAGCAGGGGGAGAGGGAAAAGCAGAAGCAGACTGCCCACTGAGCAAGGAGCCCAATGCAGGGGCTCTATCCCAGGACCCCAGGATCACAACCCCAGCAGAAGGCAGATGCTCAACCCACTGAGCCACCCAGATGTCCCAAATTTTTTTTTATTTTTTATTTTATTTATTTATTTTTTTAATTTATTTATTTGACAGACAGAGATCACATGTAGTCAGAGAGGCAGGCAGAGAGAGAGGAGGAAGCAGGCTCCCCGCCAAGCAGAGAGCCCAATGTGGGACCCGATCCCAGGACGCTGGGATCACGACCCAAGCCGAAGGCAGGCAGAGACTTTAACCCACTGAGCCACCCAGGCGCCCCCCAACTTTTTTTTTTTTTTTAATTTTAAGGCAGATTTTATTTATTTCTAAATAAGGCAAGTAAAATGCAGATTTAGAATTAAACAGGTTTTCAATAACTTCTGGTTATTATATGGTGAGAGAATTATGAACATCAAATTTTTGAGTATTATTGTACAAAACTGAAAACAAATGCTTTCCAAATTGTAGCAAAATTAACTCCCCCAATACCATTAAGTCTACAAAGACACTATCAAGTTATCTGATGGCATCCAAATCCTATAATGCTTTCTCAATGTAAATTTTGAAACATTCTGAATACTTTTATAAGCCCATTTTTCAAAAATGTCATTGGAAAAATACTGAAATCAAAAGAACTTCTGTTACTTTAAGTGCTTAACGTAACAAAACAAATGTGCTTATCTAGGTTAATTTAATTCAAGTACAGTAGTACTAAAGATAACACATAACTTTAATGAAGCCTAATCTTTTTGTGAAAAAGCAAGTCATAAAGTTAAACAAAATTGGAAAACTAGTATTAGAATCAGCTGTATGAGTTTGGTGTAAGAGTACTTATTTTAAAGTTTTAGCAGAAAAAGTCTTAAAGCTCGTTCTCTTCTTTGGAGCTTAAACAGTAGGTTGTGTTCTAATCACTCAAAAGTTAATCATGTTTCTATAGCTCTCTCTCTAATTTTTATACCTGCCAATGTGTTCACGGGCTATAATAAGTCTTTGAATTTGTGCTGTACCTTCATAAATCTGATAGATCTTAGCATCCCTCATTAGTTTTTCTACAGGATATTCTGTATTAAATCCATTGCCTCCAAAAATCTGCACAGCATCAGCAGCTAACTGATTTGTAATATCTGCAGCAAATGCCTTTGCTATAGAGGCATAGCAGGTATTTCGGCGACCCGAATCAACCTCCCAAGCTGCTCTCTGGTAACTCAATCTAGCTAGTTCAACTTTCATTGCCATTTCAGCCAGCAAAAATGATATTCCTTGGTGCTCTACAAGCAGCTTTCCAAAAGTTTTCCTCTCCAGGGCATACTTGGTAGCTTCATCCAAAGCTCTTTGTGCTAGTCCCACAGCACCAGCTGCTACTGGAGGTCTAGTTTTATCAAAAGCACCCATTGCAATTTTGAAACCAGCTCCTTCACCAATTAAAACATTTTCTTTAGGCACTCTCACATCCTCAAACACAATTCCTCTTGTATCTGAACATCGCTGACCCATATTCAATTCCTTTCTTCCAATCTGCACTCCTGGGGTATCTGCTTCCACAATAAATCCAGTAAAGGCTCTATTAGCAGGAGTCTTTGGATCCGGATCAGAACGAGCCAATAAGAAATACCAATTAGCTTTTCCTCCATTGGTTATCCACATCTTCTGACCATTAATAATATATTCATCTCCTTTCCTTTCTGCTTTGGTTTTTATACCAGCTACATCAGAGCCAGCTACAGGTTCTGTTACGCAGTAAGCACACATCAGTGGCTCCTCAGTGAGTCTCCCCAAATACTTCTTTTGTTGTTGGTCATTTCCAGCAATAAGAAGAGGCATTTGCCCCAAAGAATTTGCTTCAATAGCAGTCTGAACCCCTGTGCATCCATAAGCCAATTCTTCAGTAATTAAACAAGCATCAAAAATTCCAAGTCCAAGACCTCCACAACTCTCTGGAATGTGTTTATTCATTAAGCCAAGTTCCCATGCTCTTTTAATTAGGGGGACAGGGTACTCGCCACTTTTATCGTATTCTGCAGCAACTGGGATTATTTCTTCCCTGGCAAATTTACGAGCAGTAGCTTGAAACTCTTTTTGCTGTTCAGTGAGCTCAAAATTAAATCCCAATTTTGGTTCATGCTGTAGGGCAGCTTTTGTATGTTGTGATCTCCAGTCAAAACGAGAAACACTTTTTAGGACCCTGCAGCTACGCCTAAACACCGCTGCCATGTTGACTCCCGGTCCGGATACTCAAACGCTAACTCAGTCCGTGGCGCTCCAACTTTTTTTTTTTAAATGCCAAAGCCTGAAGGGTCCCTCCTTCAGGAGGGATACAAATGCAAGTGAAACCAGAGATTTTTAGTTCACAATCTCTCTCTTTTTTACAGAGTTTAACCTGTAAACGGGTTTTTAACCCTTAAAAAAGTCCACTTAGATGAAGTGATTAAAAAGTGCCTGGGGCACTCAGGATGGCTCAGTCCACAGGGCATGCAACTCTTGATCTTCGGGTCCTAACTTTGCGAGCACCATGTTGGCCATACACCCTACTTTTAAAAAAATTTTTTAATTAAAAAAAAAAAGGAAAGAAAAAGGGGTCAGCCTATATCTATGAGGAAAAAGTATTTTATCTGGAAGCAGGATAGAAGACATTATTCTCCTTAAATTACTACAACATAACTAGGTTCTACAGTGCAAAGGCTTGGCCTAGGCTCTAGCAGGTACATTCAAAAGGCATAAAAGCAAAACAATATTTACATATACACTAGACATCAAACTGAGAAGCCATTAAATTAACAAAACAAAAGAAGTTGAGTTCTAAAAACATATTAGATCAGCATGAGTCATATTCTTTTAAAAAACATTTCTTGGAGCGCCTGGGTGGTTCAGTCAAGCATCCTACTCTTGGTTTCCACTCAGGTCATGATCTCAGGATTGTGAGACTGATTCCCGCAGCTTCGTATGGAGTCTGCTTAAGATTCTCTCTCCTTCTCTCTTTATCCTCCCCCTGGCTCACTCTCTCTTCCCCCTCTCAAGTAAAATCTGAGAAAAAAAATTTTTTTAATATATTTCTTTTTTCCTCCAGTCATAAGAACATATGTTCAATTTTGAAATCTGGAAGAATAATTTAAATTTGCCCCTATCCATAAAATACCAACTTACACACAGTGCATAACTTCCTTTTATTCTCCATTTCATACACTGGCCACATCTCTCACAAAATGACAGACATAACAAAATACACTGTCTTCTATTACTCCATGAGCATTTTTTCACGCATCTCTAGTCTTCAAAGAATAGTTAATAGCTGCACAGTCTACCATATGTTTATAATAGAATATAACCAATCCCCTACTGCTATATATTTAGGTGGTTTCTAGTTAGCTAGTTAGCATTGGGAGCGTCTTTATATAGAGGACTGTGTGTACGATCATGTCAAATTCTCAAAATGAAATCAGCAGATTAAGTATGATCATTAAAGCCTTTTATACATTCTCAAGTTTCTTTCTAAAACCATTGTACCTATTTATTTACATTTTAACAACACTGTAACAGAGAAAAGTCTTGGTCTAGGTCACTAGGTCACTATTGACAATGCCGAGTTGAATAAACTTTCTTAAACTGAAGGGTCAAAATTCTTGTTTTAAATTTTATTTTCTCTGACGAGTAGCAACAAATACTTTTTCAAGCTGTTGACCATTTGTATTTTGTATAAAGAACACTTGTTTTGGGGGCGCCTGGGTGGCTCAGTGGGTTAAGCCCCTGACTTCGGCTCAGGTCATGATCTCAGGGTCCTGGGATCAAGCCCCACATCACATCGCATTAGGCTTTCTGCTCAGCAGGGGGCCTGCCCCCCCCCCCCCCCCCGGTCTGCTGCTCTGCCTACTTGTAATCTCTCTCTCTCTCTGTGTCAAATAAATAAAATCTTAACCAAGAAGAAAAAAAAAAAAAAAAGAACACTTGTTTTTATTCTTTGCCCCATATTTTCTACTTGGGAGTTGAACTGCATAAATTGTTTTGTCCCCAACTGAAAGAAGAATCCTGACAAGACACATTTAACATGTGCCAAAGTTTACCAGCAAAAAAAAAAAAAAAAAAAAGGGGGAAAATGAAACCTATCTGAAGACAATATAAACCTAAATAACTAAAGGTAGAAGAGGTCCCCAAATTAGTCTTTGGACAAAAAAAGACTACTTTTTCTTCTCCCTTTGCCCATTCCATGTTGTCTTTTTTTTTAAATCTCAGAATAAAATTTGTTTTTTTAAAGGTTTTATTTATTTGAGAGAGAACATGAGAGAGAACAAGTGAGGGGGCGCGCAGAGGGAGAGGAGAAGCAGACTCCCTCTGAGTAGGGAGCCTAATGTGGGGATGTGGCACTTGATCCCAGGACCCTGGGAGCATGACCTGGGCTGAAGGCAGCGGCTTAACCCACTGAGCCACCCAGGCGCCCTTGGTTAAAAGTAAAATCTTAATTTAAAAAATTTTTTCTAGGGGCACATATATATCTGTGTG